CTCTCTCTCTCTCTCTCTCTCTCTCTCTCTCTCTCTCTCTCTCTCCTGCTTCTTTTCCAGCCTGTGTTGAGAATCAAGGGGCACTATTAAATCTAAGTCTAGTTCCTGTCCCAGTCATACCAGCACAAAGCTCCTTTAGACACAATAGATGCTGGAAAAGACAATAAAACACAGTAATGCTAGGAAGAGTTGAAGGCAGCCAGAAAAGAGGAAGATTCAGCATGAGATAGATTGACTCAATCAAGACCCGAGCAAGGTTTTTAATGATAGGATGTTTTAGAGGACATTAATTTATAGAGCCACTATGAGTCAGAAGTGACTTTACGACACTTAACACACACACACACAAAGAGCGCATGGCTCTTTGTTTGATCTTCTTTTCCTTGTCCTTAAAAAGTTATACCTGTGCTTCCATCACTTCTCACAGCACAGGAGGTGGGTATTAGGCTATAAACACACTCACATGTTTGACTGTTACCTGTCTGAGAGGGCATTTGTGTGTCTGTTTTTCTGTTACAGATCATTGGTAATAGTGGGAAAGGACCTAGTCATATCATGCAGGCACAAATCATCAGTTGTAAATCTGCCCCCCCCTCGGCCATGTCAACCAATGATTTTATGAGTAAATAAATTACAACACAGCTGAAATAAATGGAAGACAAGAACACTTGACATGTTTAAAGTTGTTTCCATAATCATTTCCTCTGTGTTTTGTATAAAGCATTTCTAACTGAGAAATTGTTGTGTTGTATTCAAAGTGGTTGTGTCATTTTACTTGCCTGTTCTAATGAAGTTTTAGGGTGATATTTAGCTTTTAAAATAATTTAAAACAATTCTGACAGTGGTTGAAAAGGACTCCTGGGTCCCCAGTTTATTTGTCTAAATTCTAAATGGCTCAGATAGTGAGGTCTTAAAATAAATTATATGTAGCTAGAATTAACATGAATAAAGCTATGTATTTTCCCTTCGGGAAATGGCTTTAATTTAGAAAGAAAATGATATTCTCTTCATGTAATGTTTTACATTGAGATAAAACTTTTATCTAAACTGGCAAGGGGTACAACTTGGAAATTACCATTGACGCACTGGCAAAATCATAATGACACTCACAAAGCTTAATTAGCTGCTAGGAATGTTTGTTCTTTGCTAATGGCTATTGTTTTACTTTTTCACTTGGGGCTCATCTCATATTACAGGTTTCCAACACAGAAAGCATTTTTATGTAGGAAACAGAGTGAATCAACCAATCAATAATTTATTATGTTCATGACCAGCAGAATAAAGCATATATTGAGTAGCAATAAGAGTGAATCTCACATAGACTGATTTGATGATCTTTCATGAGCTTCCTGCTGTTTCCTTCACAGAAGCATAAAGTTGACCTTAAAGAACTGGATATGTTGGAGAAGGCATGATGATGTCAGGCAAACTTTCATTATTTTTTTTTAAAAGTATTCATGAAGGACAGGATTTGGTTTATTCTTCAGTAATGCCATTTCTTCACATAGTAGGAAGAGCTGGTTTTGCTCAGATCATGTGGGAACTCACTCGTTTTCATATTTGTTCCTCCTTTATTATCAGTTTTTGCTAACTAGTCAGTTCACTGTTGTTACAGCTAATGGTAGCTGGGTTGTTCCCATGGTTACTTGTGCATAAGAACCATAGATTTCATTTGTATGTATTCATATCAGAGCAGCATGATATCTTCTCTGTAAGGGTAGATCAGAGTTGCCCAAACTTCTGATAGCTGAACCACACTTCCTCCCCCATCAACATTTTATTTATTTAGACCCCACCTTTCTTTCCAGGGGAACCCAGAGCACCTGACATCATTCTGCTCTCCTCCATTTTATCCTCACAACATTTCTGTGAGGTAAGATAGGCTGGGAGTGTGTGACTTGCCCAAGGTTACCCAGCAAGCTTTCCTGGCACAATAAAGATTTGAACCTGGGTCTTTTGGATCCTAATCTGACACTCAAACCAGTATACCACACAAGGAGGCACCATTCACTTTAACATTTGTCTTCCTCAAATGACCTCCACTTTCGGTAGGAAATTATTTGTAATTCATCCTCAGTCTGTCTCCTTGTCTTTTAGAATTATAGCTGCTTCTGCTAACCCAGGAAACTCCTGTGAACAGTTGTTCACTTTTTTAGATAAGAGATGCAGTTTAAATATTTTAGAAAATGTAAGTACAACCTCAACCAATATTATTTTCCTGCTCTTCATGGGTCTTGCCAGTTGCCTTAATCCAGTCTTAGCTCTAATTGCCCCTTCCTGGCAACATCCTCCTCATTGCTACCAGTGTTCCTTCTGAGCTGTGCCTGTGAGCAGCTGCTCATTAACACAAGAAAGCCCCGCTCAGCAGCAGTCTGGAGCCACACAGGGTCTTGCACTGCCCATTGGCCATTTTAAGATTACAGCAGTTAGATTCTGCTCAGGATGTGAAACTGCTCCACTCAGTGGGCAAAACAAATTAGAAAGAACATTGCCCGCTACCAATATGTAATGGTTGGTGACTTCTTTTTCAACGTATCTGAAGAAGCGTGCGTGCACACGGACGTTCATACCCAGAATAAAACTCTGTTGGTCTTAAAGGTGCCACTGGACTCAAGCTTGGTTCTAATGTACACAGTGTTACTGTTTGTTCTGACTGTTAGATTATGTGATGTAAGAGACTTTTTAAAAAGCAGGCAAAGAGCATAAAATCATGTGCAAAATCATGAGATAATTAGAGTTGAAATAAAAGTTCACATGTAGAGGAATACTGGTTTCCGTTAACGGCTAAGACCAAGTTTGTGGTCGGCCTTTTAGGGTGCCACTGGTGCTAGTACTAGCCACAAAGTGCCATGTGTTCAAAATGATAAATGCTTATTTCCCCAGAAGCTTACTTCTCAAGAAAGTTGGCCAGATGCACAGGGGCTAGGCTTAAGAGGTTGCCCACCATGGTGGGGATCTCCCACCCACCCCCAGCTATCACCATGGGAAAAATGGGGGGGGTGTGTGACATTGCATATGTACTGTCTACTTGGTCATCACATCCTTGACACTTTAGGAATTTTCCCAATCTCTGTGGGAAAGAGATTGGGGGGAGTTCCTGGACTGTCACTTGATGTGGTGATGTTGCTTCTAGGTCTTCACCCAGAAGTGACATCACTGAATCATGCAACACTCCCCCTCTCCCTCTTCCCAAAAGCTCCCCGAATTGCCAGATGCCGGCTTGGCAATCCTAACAGGGACTGCTGGGGTTGTATCTTAAGCCAATTGTGTCCAGGTTACCAGTTTGCTCCTTTGTACTTTAAGGAGTGTGCAGTTTAATTAAGAACAGTGGGCATGATCTAGTTCTTTTACAAACTTTTAAATGCAATTTGTTTCAATGAGACTTAAAGTCAGTGGGACTTAAATCATGCTGTGTGTGAGAGGGGTGTAAAATAAGTTTACTAAGTTGGATAGTACTAAGGTGTGAGAAGAATGGAATTCTGTACCATGTACGTTGGGGAGAATACTCACATTGCTCCTATTGTTTCATCTTTGGCTAGTGCTAAAAATGGACACACAGTAAGCCAACTGACATACTGGGGAAAAATAAGTATAATTCTGGAATCTAATCTAAAAGGTCATAAGCTTTCAGCACTTTGAATGGCAGTTCTTAGCTTGAAAGACAGTGCAAATAAGCTTTAAATTTGCTCACTTACTATTGCTGTCCTTCCTGTCAGGATCTGTCACTGTGAGGGAGACGATGAAAACCCCCTCATCACACCATGTCGCTGCACAGGGACCCTACGTTTTGTTCATCAGGCCTGTCTGCATCAGTGGATTAAGAGCTCAGACACACGATGCTGTGAACTCTGCAAGTATGACTTTATAATGGAGACCAAGCTCAAACCACTTCGAAAGGTATGGTGCAAGAAATTAAATATATCCAACTGGGGACTGCTGTAGCTAAAGGCACTTGTACATTTCCAGCCTAGGTTATCTTATTTAATGTAGCTTTTGATACCTACAGGTTAGTTTGCCTGAGCTGATTTACATCTACACACATACACACACACATGTTTACAAAGTTTGAAATAATCCTCTGTCTGGTTGCCATTCACAGTATTAACCTAATTAAGATAGTCAACAGATCTTCTGCAGCTAAAGCTGCAATACGTAGAAGTCAGTCTCCCCTCACCTTAGGGATGCTAGAACACCTGCCAGTTCAGCTCACTTCCCATTTGCCAGTAGTGATCAGGCAGCCAATTAATCAACAGACTGTTTGCAACCTGTTCATGTGTATTCACAGGCACATTCTACTTGCAGCCATCAGAAGTTGACTCCCAGCTGATGAGGGATCAATTGAGAAGCAGCTTTGGCTCTTCTACTGGGGAAATTTTGCTCTGTATCTGGCAATTGGAGGTCAAGAGCTGATTCCCAGCTGATCAGCTGGAAGTCAGATTCTTCTGATCTCCCGTTCAGGAAACTTTGCTGTCTCCAAGACTTGCTGAGATGCAGCAATGGGGGGTGGGGGTGGGGGTGGGGTTGTCATAAGCCCAGCTGATTTCCCTTCTGCTTGTCTTGGGCTAAAGAAAAAGGAGAGAATCCTTTTTCTCCTTTCCCTTTTGCAGTGCAGAGATTCAAATAGCTGAATCTGTCCCTGCTCAGCTTGTACTGTGGGGAGAGCTCCTTTTTGCAACTTTTCTGTTTTGCCGAGTAGTTGGCTGATCCCCCAGTCAGCTGTGAGCTGGCTTCTGACCAACAGCCAGCTGCAAACTTAGTGTTCAGCAGCTGTTTGAGTTCCTGGATGCAATTCAAAGATATCCCTGACTAGCTCACAGTCTGATTGTGAGTTTCAAGGTTAAGTTTGTTTGCCAAGCAGGTTGCTGAGAAATTTGAAGCATCACTGCCTCACCTGCATTTGACCACAGAATCAACTATTCTGGATATCTCAGCCAAACAGCTGTTTCTACCTTTTAGGGTTGCAAACTATGCTTGCGGTTGTTACCAGTAATAGCATCTACCTAATAAAATCTCAGAATCCAGAGAGATGCTGAATAAGATTTCTAATGATTGGAGCTCAGAGCTGTTCCTCCCCGTGACTGGCAAAAACAGAATAAAATTATGCAAAGGTGAAAACTTCAGAGTAAATTACACAAAATTAAAGAAAAATCTTGGGAATATATACAGGTTTCAAAATTATGCCTTTCTATGTTGCGGAATTTGTCTGATATCTGATATAGGCTTTTTGCATTTCTAAAAAGTTTAGTTTACATCGCAACCAGCCATAGTTATGTCATTATCTCAAGTAATACACAATATCTGTTTTGGCTAAAATTGATCTCTATAGAGCATGTCATAAAATTAGTGCAAAGCGTTTTGTTAGCCAAGTGTTCTGCTTATTATTTTGCAGAGGCAGAACTAGAAGGTTCACACATTAATCAGCCACAAATACTTATATGCATTAATGCCCATGACAGTTACATGAGTTGAAATATAAACCTACACAAAGTTCAGATCTCCCTGATTTATCCCAGTAATCTTTCTAAACTGTACACTAACCCCGCTCAGCCATTTAAACATATAAAATTTATAAACCATTCTTTATTATTATTGTTGTTCTTTTTGTTATTTATTAGATTTATTAATCGTCATATTCCAGCTTACGCCAAGACCAGGCAATTCCCCAAATATTCAAAACAGGTGATATTAGTAGTGTTTGCTTCCATTTTCTATAGGAATCAAGGCACCTTTTGCAGTTATTTATTATATAGCAGAGGGTCAATATGCAGTCTTATAAATCTAGTAGGTCCTACTATATGAATTTTAAAAAGCATATATTTCTGTAATTCCCGTGTCTGGACAAAAAAATTGAAAAGCTATAAAAATAATTGAGGGTAGCCCCCTACCCCAAAGCAACTATGTGCAGACATCATGGGAAACAAAAGGGAAGGCAAGAAACAGAAGCCAACACTTTTGCACAAAGATTAGAGCAGCAGCTGCCTTTCAAGCCAGCCAGTAGCACTGGCTGCATGAGAAGTGGCACTTATGCAGGAAGGGAGAGGATGTTGGCTCAAGATCCCTCTAAGAGGGCCTTTTGTACTCTCAGAATTTAGTGTGCTTTGCACCAAGGATAGAAATCAAGAATTGTCACCCAAATTAAGCAAATTATTATTTTTAAAAAATTGAATTCCAGCTTTCTATTCAATTAGGGGTCCTCAATGCAGCAAACAATTTCAAAGACATTAATTTTTTTTAAAAAAAATAGTGCACATAAACACACACACACATATATATGGAAACAATTAAAATTAAATTAAAAACAAGAAGGATGGGTCAGTAAGGGAACACCAGTTGAAAGAGAAAAGTCTACCCACTGTGATCAAGGAAGATAGGACCATAATGAAATAAACAGAATTGCGTGCCAAACCACAGGAAATTTGTGACCTGTACAGATTTTGTAGATGTATCCGAGTTTTTTTACATCTTTACCTAATTGATTTTGTAGTTTTCAATGTGTTGACGTTCAGCTGTTCTGGTTTCTGAGATTTCACCACATATTGGGTTGGGTCCAACCAACTTTTCCACTGGTTTAAAAGGGAGAATGAGGTCTCATTTGACAACCAAAAAGGTTAATTGGAGGTCATGGGACCTGCATGTAAAAAACCATGTGGAACAGGAGCTGTAGTAGGAAAGGAAATTGAGTAATATTGAGTGAAAAGCCTGGCTGTATCCAGCCCATTGCCTTCCACTTTCAAACTTTGCAGAAGTGCTAGAAGCTTGCTTTAAAAGGAAATTAAAACTCATGTTCTTAGGAATATTGCATCCTGTCTGCTGCCTTGTGTAGAACTGCAATAAATGGTCATGAATAGACTCTGCCATATAACTTTAGTTGGTACATGGAAACAATTTCACATCATTCTCCAACTGCTTTCATTTATATGTCTCCTTTTGTTGTCAAACAGAGGACATCATCTTAGGGTCAAAGAATAGAAAATCCTGGAAATAGTCAATATATCATTGCAGCCATTGATTTGTCATATATAAGGGGCTTCTATATATCAAGGTTGGGTAAAAATGAGATTTTAATCTGACAGTTAATAGTGGCCTGAGCTTGGTCAAGCTAGATCTCTAAAAGTTTCAGACTGAAAACTTAAAAGGAGTCCTCAGTGCTTCTTGTCTTGCATGGAGCTCTCAAGACAGCCCAGCCTGTTCTCCCAGAGGCTATCTACGGTAGGTAGTTGGTACAAAGGCAAGCAGTCTATTTAGTTTTCCCCCTCCTTCATTCTGTCTCTCCATGGCTGGTCATGCTGCAGCTGTTCCTCTCTCATAAAGGCTTATAAAGGCTCATAAAGGAGAGCCAGTTTGGTGTAGTGGTTAAGTGCGCTGACTCTAATCTGGGAGAACTGGGTTTGATTCCCCACTCCTCCACTTGCACCTGGCTGGATGACCTTGAGCAAGCCGTAGTTCTGACAAGAGCTGTTCTCTCAAGGACAGTTCTGGAAAGAGCTCTCTCAGCCCCACCTACATCACAGGGTGTCTGTTGTGGGGAGGGGAAGGGAAAGGAGTTTGTAAGCCACTCTGAGACACCTTTGGGTAGTGAAGGGCAGGGTATAAATCCAATCTCTTCTCTTCTTCTTCTTAAGTAAGAATTGCGACACAAATGGCTGTGTAAAACAATTCAAGAAAGGATAATCGATTCAGGTAGCTGTAAGTTTTGATGTGGGAATCCCTGATTCGTAGTAGTTTAGTTGTGGATTTGTACGTGTATAATAAGCAGGTACCCCAGTTTATCTCACACAAGCAGTGGAAAGCTAGTCTCAGTGAGGCTGATAAAACGGAACATAGGCTATGGCAAATAAAATGCAAGTCTGTGGTCAGGCAGGCAAAAAGGAAATATGAGGAGCATATAGCAAAAAATGCAAAAACCAACAATAAAACTTTCTTCAAATACATTAGAAGCAGGAAACCAGCCAGGGAGGCAGTGGGGCCCTTGGATGACCAAGGGGTAAAAGGAGTACTGAAGGATGATAGGGAAATGGCTGAGAAGCTAAATGCATTTTTTGCCTCTGTCTTCACTGTGGAAGATGAGAAGTGCTTGCCCACTCCAGAACCGCTGATTTCGGGAGGGGTGTTGAAAGACCTGAGTCAGATTGAGGTGACGAGAGAGGAAGTCCTAAAACTGATAGACAACTCAAAAACTGATAAATCACCAGGCCCGGATGGCATACATCCGAGAGTTCTGAAAGAACTCAAATGTGAACTTGTGGATCTCCTGACAAAAATATGTAATCTTTCCTTAAAATCTGCCTCCATTCCTGAGGACTGGAAGGTAGCAAATGTCACTCCCATCTTTAAAAAGGGTTCCAGAGGAGATTCGGGAAATTACAGGACAGTCAGTCTGACGTCGATACCGGGTTAATTGGTAGAAACCATTATTAAGGAAAGAATTAGTAGGCACATAGATGAACAAAACCTTTTGAAGCAGACTCAGCATGGGTTCTGTAATGGAAGATCTTGTCTCACTAACCTGTTAATGTTCTTTGAGGGGGTGAACAAACATGTGGACAAGGGGGATCCAATAGATATTGTTTACCTTGACTTCCAGAAAGCTTTTGATAAAGTTCCTCATCAAAGGCTCCTAAGTAAGCTCAAAAATCATGGGATAAAAGGACAAGTCCTTTTATGGATCAAAAACTGGCTAATTAATAGAAAACAGAGAGTGAGTATAAATGGGCAATTTTCTCAGTGGAGGGTGGTAAGCAGTGGGGTACCGCAGGGATCAGTACTTGGTCCACTGCTTTTTAACTTGTTCATTAATGATTTGGAGATGGGAGTAAGCAGTGAAGTGGCTAAATTTGCGGATGATACAAAGTTGTTCAGGGTGGTGAAAACCAGTGAGGATTGTGAGGCACTCCAAA